AAGTTAAGTGATTCATAATTGTTGATCTTCTAAACTTGTTAATTACAACTACAAATCGTTCAAAATTAAGTTTTTATTAATTAAATGCTCTTCAACAATTCAACAATCTGACTCTTTTCGAAGAGGTAACCATCAATTCATTTGCTTATTGAATCAATCAGCAATTCATGACTCATTTCAAATATGCGACGAATACCCATTTATACCGATAAATCATCAACAATAATTTTAGAAATATCAATACATCTTCCATTCACTCGTTCTTCGTGTCATTCTTTCCATATATTATACACATAACAATATGAGCACACAGAATCATTCTTTTCGTGAAGTCCTGATCATAATCACGGATTTAAACGGTATCCGGTAACATCTTGAGATTCCGACAGTCGGGATTCCGACCGGAACCATCGGACTTTTCCGACCGACCGTCAACTGAATGCTATCACTACTAGAGACTGACTCTCTCTAGAATTTTATAGAGTGAGATTCTGATATGAGCGCAATCGACATTTGCATATTGTTAATATTGAGCCTCAACATATGTGTAGGTATGTCTTAGGACGAACTCGCCTCTATACGGTCAATGGTTCGCATTCGGCCTGCACACCGAACTTTTCTGCTCGCTTAAACTTCAGCAATGATTTTTGGGCGTTTTAACGTCTTGCGGGGTCTTATTTGATGTAATTTTTAACGATTTCAGGTTCGTTCCTATTTTTCATGAACTCTGGCACAAGCTGCACACATAGGTGTATTCAGAATCTTTGTTGAACTGATTCTAAACTATAAATTAGTAAAATAAGACGTGTACTTATACGATTCGCCCATGTTCGCTATGCATTAATGTTACGTTGATGTGTTGTAATTCCCTTCCGTTCCATTAAATGCGACCTAGTTGAATACACGGAAATCGACTGTGACTTCAACTGAATTTCCGACTGAGGGAAATATAGCTCCAACGAACCGTGTGGCTCAATTAAATGTCTGATGCATCTTGACGGCAAAAAAAACACTAAGTGATTCAAATCCTTTAACATAACAACAACAACTTCTTCACAATCGTTTAATTTTAAGCTGTGAGTTCAGCTTGTTTTTCTAATGGTTCCGTTCTCTGAAAAATGTCCACTTATTCAGTTTTCATTCGATCCAGGCAAATATTTGTGTGCTTCTCCGAGATTTTACATTCTCATATTTGAAATCACCATCGCGAGATGTTTTCGTTTATGAACCTAGCCCAGAATTATGCTTACGCTTATTTAGGCAGTCGAAAAAATCGACTGTTAGGTATAGGGTGGCAGCGGCAAGGCTCGTGTCCTTATTCTACCACCCAAAACTCGTGAGAATAATCGTGAATTTGAATTTATGTTCAATTTTCATAAGTGTCAGCGTTCGTGTTCTTGTACAATATTTTTGTGTCATTCTCATCTGAATGAATTGTTTCAAAATTTCAATTAATGGATCTGTTGAAGTTCTTTCAGATCTCGGGTGCACAAAAATGAAGCAAAACCAGTTTGTGTCGTCGTCAGCACGTAAAGCTCGAAAAGCGCACTTCAATGCACCATCACATATCCGAAGGAAACTGATGAGCGCTCCACTTGCTAAAGATCTCCGAATCAAGCACGGAGTCCGATCGATCCCAATTAGGTACTGTCTGATTCGTTTCTTTAATCATTTGTGTTTTTCGTAGAATCTACACAATAAGTAAACTTCTTCTGAGATTTAGAACTGATGCATAACATTGTTGTGCTAAAGATCAAGATTCAGTAAACGTAAAGAAGTATTTCTCATGAGGACATTAATAATTTACGAGCTAATCATAGTGACTGTGTGAAAATTTTGAACTGAAATGAATCTGCGAATTTTAGAATGGACGATGAAGTGACGGTGGTTCGAGGTCATTACAAAGGAAACGCAGGCCGTGTGATGCGTGTCTACCGAAAGAAATTCGTCGTTCATATCGATAAGATCACTCGTGAGAAGGCGAACGGTTCGACCGTTCACATCGGCATCCATCCGTCGAAAGTGGCCATCACCAAGCTGAAAATGGACAAAGATCGTAAGGGTATGATTGAACGTAAAGCGGCCGGACGTGCACGTGTCACTGGACTCCTTAAAGGAAAACATACCGAGGAGAGTATTGCCGAGGAATAATTTTGTTGTTTTAATTGATTTGGAGTGGATTTGTATTGTGATTATCAAGCTTTGTTGTTGTTATTTTTGATTGAAATGTTATTTTATTTGTGTGAACAGAACAATAAATAACGTTCATCGTGTGTTAATTGCCTGCCTGCCTGAACATTTGATTCACAGCGCTTGGGGTATAATTGAACGTGAAGAGAAATTATTACGATATTATTTTATTCGTGAGAACAGAACAATAAATAACGTTCAAGACTGCAAAATGTGAAACAATTGCGGGAATTTCGCATGTTGGAATGCGCAACCTTTAGTTATTTTCATTGACGGAGCACACGAGAAGTGGGTGCACGGTGGATATTCACTGATGATCACGTAGTGTCATTTTCGAGAATGATGATGATTGGTCTGGCTAATCTGTTCAAGATAGCCGGCAAAAGGATCAAATTTGAGCAGATTTTGCTCGAGAATGCAAAGTAGCCAGAATCGCCCACGTTTAGGCTCTGCACAGCAATCGTTCAGGTATAGGCGATTGTTTTGCAGTGAAAATTTGTTCAGATCGGATGGCAGGTGATTGGTTACTTCTGAGAGAAGCGACGTTCACTTGTTGTTAGATATGTGGTCACAAGTTGGAATATTTGCGCTGAAGGTAATTGGAATTCGAGGATAGAGTTTAAGTTGTGTTCGTTGCATGAAACAGCAGTTAACTTCTGATATGCACTGCATACAATTGCACATAGTGTGCACTGAATACAATTTCATCTACTCGATTTGATCAATTGGGTTATATTTTTGCAGTGAAAATAATCTAATTCAATGATACAAAAATCTAAAATTATCTAATGATCTAATTGTGAGTGACATCTTATCAATGATATTATATCCCGACATCTGATCAAAATTGCTAAGAAATTTGATGATTGTGTAGTGATCTGTGATTACTGATCGAATGCATCGAGATGAATTCTAACAATTCTAATGCATTTCATTTAACATCACTGTTCATCTGTGAGTGGTTTAGTTTATTCGTTTGTAAATTGCTTTTTAATGGTTTTTGTAAAATATGAGT